GTTCCTGTCCGGGTGTATGTGGCGAGCGGCCTCCCGGTATGCCCTCTTCAGCTCCTTGTCGTCCGCGTAGCGCGAGACCCCGAGCAGCTGGTAGCACGAGGAGCTGCCGCAGTAGAGGTCCTACTGCGACGAGGAGGAGACGGCGGGGAGGGAGGGGAGGAGGGAGAACAGGGGCGAATATCGGGTAGGAGAGGACTGTGAAGGAGAACGAGGGTGACGAGGAGGCCCTTCACCTCCTCCTCCACCGACTCCTCCTCATCCTCTCACTCTTCGTGCTCCTCTTCCTCGACACCCTCCTCCTACTCCGCTGTGCTCCCCCCTCCCTCCCTCCTCCTCCTTGTCCAGCTCCTCCTTCTCCTCATTTTCCTCCTCAAACCATCTCGCCCTCCTCATCGTATTCATCCAAGACCCCTCCTGCTCCACGACCTCCTTCTCGACACCCGCATCTGCTCCCACGTTGCGCCACTTCCCTCGTCCCGCCTCCTCCCTCCCCCCACGATGCGCGGCGGCACCCGCGGGCGGCAGCAACAGGTTCTCCTCAAGGAGGAGGAGGAGGCGGGAGGTCGGAGGAGGCCAGAGAATAATGATGAATATGATGATGATGATGCTGCTGATGCTGATGATGCTGATGATGCCGATGGTGATGGTGATGATGATGCTGATGATGATGACGATGATGATGATGATGCTGATGTTGCTGCTGCTGCTGCTGATAATGGTGATGATAATGACGATGACGATGACGATGACGACGATGATGATGGTGATGATGATGAGGAGGAGGAGGAGGTGAAACAGATGTAGGAGAAGCAGCATCACAAAAACCACACAAACACCTCATGGGGCAGAGTCCCCGAGGCAGGCAATACCGCAGAAGCGGCCCAGCGGCTGATCTTTCCGCGCTACATCTCACTAGGCTGGTCACACAAGCTGGGGGCTGGGGGGGGGGGGCGGACACGGCTGGCTGAGGAACAGGAGGGGCAGGAGACAAGGAGAGCTCCTCCTCCTCCTCCTCCCTCCTCCCTCCTCCTCCTCCCTCCTCCCTCCTCCTCCACCTCCACCCCCTCCCCCTCCCCCTCCTCCTCCTCCTCCTCTTCCTCCTCCGCCTCCTCCTCCTCGCCCTCCTCCTCCTTCTCCTCCTCCTCCGCCTCCTCCTCCTCCTCTCTCTTTCTGACTCTCTATATCTCTCTCTCTCTATCTCTCTCTCTCTCTCGCTATCTCTCTCTCTCTGTCTCTCCCTCTCTCTCTATCTTTCATCATTGTGCTGCTGAGAGAGAGAGAGAGAGAGAGAGAGAGAGAGAGAGAGAGAGAACGAGAGAGAGAGAGAGAACGAGAGAGAGAGAGAGAGCGAGAGAGAGAGAGAGAGAGAGAGAGAGCGAGAAAGAGCACACACCACACAACAAAAACGGTACCGACTGCGGCCGCGTCCGCGCGGGATGGACACGAGCAGGCCGAACATGCAGCCGCGGGGGCTCAGATGAGTACCCACCCCACGTGGCCAGCCACCATCCCTCTCGCCCGTGGGCCTGCTGGCACTAACACCGACAAGCGTCAGCACCCCTGGGTGGGCCAAGCCGACATCGCCTGTCCCGCCAGGCCGCCCTCCGGCACCGCGAAGAAGCCGTCCTGGAGGACGGGCCGGCCCATCATGAGGACGGGCGCACGCCTCGAACACGAGCCAGCATTAGTAAACTCCTGGACGGACGTGAGGACGTCGAGCTCCGCGGGGGACAGCGAGTCAACGTTCGCCGCCGCCGCCGCCTCCACGGGGAGGCAGAGGTCACCCTGCGGCGTCCCGAGCCGCGCAGACAGCGCCGCCCACTGCCGCTGGATCGCCACCAGACCCTCCTTTACCACAGCCTCGCCGCGAGGCTGCTGCACCGTGCCGCCGCTCACGCCAAGGCCCCTGCCAACGTCCTTGCACTGGCCGCAGATGGTGGCCACGACGCGGTCCTGGCGCCGCCCTACTGGGCGCTCAGCCCTCCGCGCGACGAGGAGCGAGTCGGCCCAGTCGTCGGGCGGGAGCGGCCCGAACAGCATCACCTGCAAGCGCGCCTCCGCTTGGCCCGAACGGGTCCGCCGCCGCGTCCTCGACCTCCGTGCTGTTGCCGCGCATGCCGCCACGCCCTCGCGGGCGCGGGCGCCGCCGAGGGCCCTTGGGTGGCCGCGCTGCCACTGGCGCCGGCGGGGCCTCAGCTTGCGCGCCGTGGACCGCCACGGCGGTCCTGACCATGCCATCGGCGGCTCGGAGCCGTCACATGGCGGAACGCTCCCTGGGGCCGCCCGAGGGCCTGGCAGCAGCGTGCGTGCCAGGACGGCGCCGCGCGCTGCCTCCAGCGCCGCCGCGCGGGCGTTCTTGATCGCCCCTGGTATCGGGTGCCGAGGCAAGGGGGCGGGGGGAGGAGGAGGAGGAGGAGGAGGAGGAGGCGGAGGAGGAGGAGGAGGAGGAGGAGGAGGAGAAGAGAGGAGGGGAGGAGGTGGAGGAGGAGCAGGAAGAGGAGGAGGAGGAGGAGGAGGAGGAGGAGGAGCAGGAGGAGGGAGGAGGAAGGAGGGGGGAAGGAGGAGGAGGAGGAGGAAGGAGGAGGAGCAGGAGGAGGAGGAGAAGGTGGAGAGGAAGAGGAGCAGGCAGGTGGAGGAGGAGGAGAGGAGGAGGAGGAGCAGGAGGAGGAGGAGGAGGAGGAGGAGGAGGAAGAGGAGGAGGAGGAGGAGGAGGAGGAGGAGTGAGGAGGAGGAGGAGGAGGAAGGAGTTCGGGCACCCTGAGGGGACGCGTTTCTTCTGATTGGCGCCAGACGAGGACGTGGGCGGCTGCGCTCGCCGAGGCAAAGCCTTCGGGAGTCGGCGCTGTGTGTAGCCTTTTTTATGTGGCACGCCAGCGTAATGCGCTGGCACGTGCGTTGCAGCGAAGTAGCGCTGTCGCGGTCAGGGCTGTACGCAGAGTCGGAGCCCAAGCCCCAGGATGTGAGTGTCGTGCGGAGGAGAGGCGGGCCAAGGGACAAAAGGAGGCTCAGGAGGCGAGAACAGGAGAGGTAGTGGGAAAATGCGTTTGCGGCCTGTGGGCAGCCGAATACGCACGTGCGGGGCACCAGGACCTGCATGCGGGCGGCTGTGGTCCACCGAAGAGGAGGAGGAGGAGGAGGAGGAGGAGGAGGAGGAGGAGGAGGAGGAGGAGGAGGAGGAGGAGGAGGAGGAGGAGGAGGAGGAGGAGGAGGAGGAGGAGGAGGAGGAGGAGGAGGAGGAGCGAACGTAACCTGGCGGAAACGTTCAGCGTTCTAGCGGCAGCCCGGCCGCGCGGCGCCCTGGGTCAGGGCGCGCGGGGAGGAGCAGACGCGGACGTAGTTCTTCTCGGACGAGGCAATCGGGAAGAAGCCCAGGGAGTCCGCATAGGAGTCCAGGAGCGAGTTGAACAAGTCCACGCATTCAGTGGAGCGGATGTGCGTGAGCAGGCGGTCGAAGTACTCGACGAATTCGGCATTGGTGACAGTAGTCACGTCGTGCATGTTCGGCTTCTCGTGCTTCGGTGGGTTGGCCAAATGTTCATCCGAGAACTCCTTGCTGGCGGGCTGGTGGATGTTCTCCATCTTCGCCACCCGCATGCCGAGGGACTCGAGGTGCTTGTTCACTGAGTTAGTGAGCAGCTGTATCTGCTCGCGTACTGTGTCGAAGAGCTGGTTGTAGTTGGAGGTCGTCTGCTTTAGCATGTTCTCCGAAAGTGCCAGCAGAGACTTGCCATTGATCGAAGTCAGCTCTCTGGCCCATGCCGCGAGCGTGTCTTCCAGCATGTTCACCGTGACGAGCGGGGTGGCGGGAGCGGAAGACACCGTAGGCGTGCGGAGCGGAGGCAAGTTCGTGTCAAAGAGATGGTTGTCGGCGCCAGAAGCATCCGCAAGAGCGTGCCCGCGAGGCTCTGGTAGGGCGAGGGCGTCAAGATCGTCCAGAAGAACATGCAGGGCGGCACCCGCAGGGTGGTGGCGGGCTACCGATTGAGTAATAAGATTACCCTGGCGGTCGTCAACGTGCCACTCTGGGTCTCCCGCGGCATGAGCATCACCAGAGACAGGGCTAGGAAATTGTTGATCGCCAGCGACATGAGCATCACCAGCAGGATTGAGGTCTTCAGCGGAGTCACCATCATCTTCACGTTGATCTGCGACGCGACCGGCATGAGCCTCACCAGCGACACATGCAGGCCGCGCATGAGAACCAGCAGGGCAACCCGGTAAACGAAGGATTGCAATTTAGTCTCCAGCGGCGTGAGCATCACCAACGACGGATCCAGGAAACGGTTGACCGCCAGCGGCATGACCATCCACAGCGTCGCAGTCACGGCGTTCGCGAGGTCCAGCAGGAGCGCCCGATTCAGGAGGGATTGCTTGAGCAGTGCCAGCGGCATGAGCAACACCAGCAGCGGATGAATGAAATGAATGAGCCACAGCGGCAGCACGGGCGCGTATATGTACGTGCAGGAGGTCACGATCATGGGCAGCATCAGGAAACACATCGGGAGTAGGACCTGCGCCTTGTATGCCATGAACATGTGGGGGGAGCGGGCCAGCACCAGCATCCGCACGGCGAGGTACCCGAGGCAGAGGAAGGGGATCACGTGCAGCCCCAGGATGGGGGAGCGAACCAGCTCCATGACGTAGCGGAGCTGCAGCGGCAAGCGGTGGAAGTGGTCCCACAGCTCCACCAGCGGCTTCCTCATGAAGTTGAGATATGAAGCGTGCCACTTTCTGAAGCTCTCCCTCAACACCGCCCGAGCACATCCCCAGAAAGTATACAGGAACGGGAGGAGGATGAGGCGCGTGTGCAGCGGGGGCATGGCGACGATCACGAGAGGCATCCCTGTGATCTTGGGCAGGTGCATCGGGCAATAGAAGATGCAGTTGTAGAGGAAGTCGCTTGTGGGTGCACTGCCCATGCCGCTGAAGGTGACGACAGAGGCGGGCGTGAGCAGCGGCCAGCGACCGAGTATGCGGCATGAAGGCCAGGGCCACGACGTTCAGGCACCACCTCGCGAAGCATCGAGGAAACATATGGAAGCGCGGGCCACGGCAGGCGGCGCGGCGCCCGGCCAGGGGGCCTTGGGCGAAACAGCAGCAGAACTCATTTCGGCCCAAGTCCGAGATCCCACGGAGGGGACGGACTTGAGCCAAAATGGCTACGGAGGAGGAGGAGGAGGAGGAGGAGGAGGAGGAGGTGGAGGAGCAGGTGCAGGAACCGCAGGCGGAGCAATAGCAGCAGGAGGAGCAGGAGCAGGACGAGGAACAGATGGATGGGAAGCTGCAGCAGCCCGAAAGAGCTCCTCCTCCGCGCCGCCCCGTACCAGCGCCCGCAGCAGCAGACCCGCCACGGGCAGCCCCGCCGCCGCCACGGCCAGCAGCGCGGCCAGCGCCGCCGCGCGCGCGGCGCCGCGCAGGAGGCCCCCGCCGTGCGGTTGGCCGCCCGCGGAGGAAAGCTCCGGCCCCGTCCTGCCAGGCGGCTCAGCGTCGGCCGCGGGGGCCGCGGGGGCTGCCGCCGCCGCGGCGCCCGCCGCGGCGCCCGCGGCTGCCGCGCGCTGCGCCGGCGCCACGGCTGCTTCGGGGCCGCGCGCTGCGCCCGCAGCGGCGGTGCCGCCCGGCGGCGGCGGCGGGGCGCGCCGCTTCGCCGCGACGACGAGCGCGCCCGCACGGAGGCCCGCCGCCTCCAGGCG